GGGTTGTGTTGCGCCTAAATACAGTAAGTGATTCTGCCAGTTTGAATACGTATGAGTTGGTTTTGTTTTCATCTGTGTGGTCAATAGCTTTTAAAGATTCCTTACACGCTTTGTTGCTTTATACTGTCGTTGACTGCAACTCTTAGGGTTTTTTTTTTATCCCTTCTTGTCTTCTATCTATGCCTCACACCAAATGGACTGAAGTTATTCCATAGCAATTTAAAAACTGAACGAAATGTGTACTGTATATTTTGGTTTTGGTGCAGAACATTGAATTAAAACATGGTTTTGTCAGATTTTATGATTCCAAAACAGGTGTGTGTGTGTGTTTTAGCATTGTTTTGACCTTTGTTTACTGTACAGGTAACCATGAAAACTGTAGTTTAGAACTTCACCATGGGGGTGTGTTGCAAAGTGGGGAGTATAAAAATGGAAAAGTTTGTTACTTGGATAATGTTGTACATGATTTTCTGTCATTGGTGGACTTAAGAAAGATAGGGAAAGGGCTTGGTTACAATGTAGACATTTCCAACCCCAAACCAAATATGGAAATATGGTATAGGAAGGGTGGAACCCATGGTGTAGGTGGGCTTGAACTTATCAGCTCTGATGCTAAACTGGTTGACATGCTGGGCCAAATGCCATGTAATAGGATTATGGGGTTGTACTATACTGAAGTGGGCAATTCTAATATAGTTTGGAGTCAAGGTTTGGATGGTGCAGACAATTATGCAGAGGTGCAACACAATGTTCAGGTGGAAGATGAAACTGGGGTGGAAGATAATGTTGATGTTGAAGATAAAGATGAAGCTGAGGTTGTAGACAGTGAAGAAGATGATGGAGAATTTGTTGATAGTGATTACGAGTTCAGTGAAGAAGAATTTGGGTTTAAGACAGTTGAAGTGCCTGTTCATGAAGGGGCAGAGGACAAATGAGGGGATAGCAATAGGAGGCCTGGTTTTGAAGCTCCTGGAGAGGTGTCATCAGATGGTGAGCACACCTCATATTTTGATACTGAAAGTGAGGGTGATGGGGATGATATGGAAGGGGATAATGAAGGGACAAGTAAGGTGAGAAGGAAAAAAAAACTGCCTCGGTTTAAGCAGTATAGAAGGGCGGTGGACTTAAAGAATCCTGAGTTTCGGCTTGGGATGCAATTTGAAAACAGACAGGTTCTTACGGAGGCACTCAGGGAATATTCCATTATTCATGGAAGGAAACTGTTCTTTGAAAAAAATGACAAGACGAGAGTAAAGGCAATTTGCAACGGAGGATTAAAATATCCATTTGTGGTTTATGCTTCACAGATTGGAAAGAATGTGCAAACATTTGTAATTAAGAAGTTGAGCTTAGAACACACATGTGGAAGGGTGGAGAAACTGAAGTCTGCTAATCCCAAATGGATTTGTGAAATATTTTCTAGCAAGATTAAGAGAAACACATATTGGAATCTCAAAGCTTTTCAAGGAGAAGTTTTGGAGTCCTATCATGTGAGGGTGTCCAAAACTCAAGTGTATAGGGTAAAGAAATTGGCTAAAGCACAAATTGAAGGAAACTACATACAGCAATATGCACGGTTGTGGGACTATGCAGAGCAGTTGAAGAAAACCAACAAAGGTAGTAAAGTGAAAATTAAGTGTGATATGGTTGGGGGTGAAGCAATATTTCAAAGGATTTATGTGTGTTTGGCTGCTTGTAAAAAAGGGTTTTTAGAAGGGTGCAGGCCTGTAATTGGGGTTGATGCTTGCCCTTTGAAAGGTCCTTATCCTGGCCAAATATTGACTGCTGTAGGAGTTGATGGTAATAATGGTCTTTTCCCAATTGCATATGCTGTGGCTAAGATTGAAAACAAAGACTCTTGGATTTGGTTTCTGTCTTTGTTGATTGAAGATTTAGGTATTAGAAATGGTTTATCTTGGGCTTTCATAAGTAATAAGCAAAAGGGGCTCATACCTGCCATTGCACATGTACTACCAACTGCAGAGCATACGATGTGCGTCCGACACTTGTACAATAATTTTAGAGCAACACATCTTGGTCTCACTCTTAAACACATGTTGTGGCAGCTGCCAGAGCCACTACTATTCCTTGGTGGGAAGCAGAAATGGACAAGATGAAGGAAGAGGAGTTGGAAGCTTGGAAATGGTTGGTGCAGAGACCACCCAATAATTGGACCAGATCTCATTTTCATACAAGGTATAAGTGTGATCTTCTACTGAACAACCTTTGTGAGAGCTTTAATGTAGCTATAATTGATGCCAGAGATAATTCCATTTTGACATGTTTGGAAAGTATTCGAATGTATGTGATGCTTAGGATGACTATTCGAAGGGCTGCTTGTGGTAAATGGAAACACCCTGTTAGCCCAAGGATATTCAAAATAATTGAGAAGAACAAGATGGGAGCTTCTCAATGCATTCCTAGATTGGCTGGGGATAAAATGTATCAAGTCAGTCACATGTATGGTGGGGAGTTTGTTATAGATCTTGCAGCAATGTCTTGTAGTTGTAGGAGATGGGATTTATGTGGCATACCCTGTGCACATGCTATTTCAGCTATATTCCACAGAGATGAAAACCCTGTTGAATATGTACATGAGTGTTATAAGCCAGAGACATACATGAGGTCATATCAACCAATAGTTCACCCCATCCCTTCTATGGATCAGTGGGTTAAGGGTGGCTTGCCTCCAATTGGACCTCCATTTCATAAGCGTCAACCAGGAAGACCCAAGAGAGTGAGGACAAATGAGGCTGCTGAGGTTCAATTACTAGCCCCAAATCCACTAAACCCTTTGCCTCCAGGTTACACTGCTCCAGCAGCAAAACTTAGAAGACTCTTCATTAAAATTAGATGTGGAGCATGTGGAAAAGAAGGCCACAATCGAAGAGGATGGGGAAGACAGGTTGTTTAATAAAAAAAGGTTTTGTTATGCATTTTAATTATTTGTACTGTGGTCCACTGTGGTTGTGATTTTGTATAGTTGTGCTTGTAGGTTGTGCAGGCTGAGGCAGCCCAAAATGGGAATGTTGGCCAAAATGAAGTTCAAGCAGCTGACAATGGAAATGCAGGCCAAAATGATATTGCCCCAGCCCAAACTGAGACTGCCCCAACCCAAACTGAAACTAATGCTGCCCCAACTCAAACTGACACTGCCCCAGCCCAAATTGAAGTTATTAGGCGCATAGGAAGAGGAGGAGGAAGAGGAAGAGGCTTATGGAATCCAGCTGCAAGGATGTCATATTCACAACCAGTTAGTGGCCTATTATTCTTGCCCAACTCAGATTTTTTATGTTTGCCTATATAATAATATATTTTGTTTGTGGTTTTTATCTTAGGTGGTAAGGGATATCAATCAAGGAAGGGCCAATCTGCCAATGACATACTCACAACAAGTGCCCTTGCAACCATCATCCTCTTCACTTGGTATACACTCCACAACCCATAGAGGAAGATTCAAGCACAGTGTCAAAAGAGGAGGACAAGTATAGACTGTCAAGACGTATTTTGTGGACTTTTAAGACCTATTTTTGGACTCTTATGTACTTACTATGTGGATGTGTATTTTGGGTGAACAATTATAGACTCAAGTATGCTATTTGGTAATGTTATTTTGAAGGCTCTTTTGCCTATTCTATGTAATGTTCAGGTGTATTATGGATTATATGTAATGTGCAGTTGGTGAATGTTAATTGGTAATTGAAGCCTTTTGGATTGTATGTAATGTGCCCCTGTTTATTTGGTATACACTGCCAATTCAGCACAAAATCATCTTATATAGCAAAAATCTGATACATTGCCAAATAGGCACAAAATAACCTTAGCCCAGGTTTCTGCCCATTTCTGCACTACCAATTCCTGCCCATTTCTACACTATGCCCATGCCATCAAAAGCTGTTCAAGAGTATATACAACATTATGCCCATTTTCTGCCATTTCTACACTACCAAATCATCCATATTAATGAACAATATCACAATTATTAAACAAAACAGAACAACAACCCAGAACCACCTTTGTCTTTGTCGATAACTCAAAATTTCCCCTTCTAGTACAACAACTTGTTGACCCATTCCCAGATTCTGTTTTTTCAAAATCTTGATTTCTTCTTCCTCTTCTCTCAGTTTTTGCTCTAATTTATTCTTCTCTTCTTCCATC